GGAGAACCTGGAGAGAACCCACGCTGCACGGGGAGAACATGGAGACTCCATGCAGAAAGATCCCAGGACGTGAACCGGCGAGCTTCTTGCTGCGAGGCAACAGTGCTACCAACTGCACCACCTTGCAGCACCTTAATATTTATGTGAAATTGCAAATTTGTTTTGGCTTTTTAATGTAAATGAATGGCATTTACATGAGTAAAAACAATTAAATTACCTAAAAGCGTGGCTGAATAATGATATAATAATAGTACAAATCTGGCATAATACTAGAGAAAAGTGCCGTTAATAGTTGGGTTTTATTGTATACTTTTATAAATAATGTGGTAAAACTAATCATTTATTTTTGATCATAGTCCAAGTAACAACTGTTTATAAGGATGAAAATGTATATTTTGACAGATTTTGGAAATATATTAACAGCAGTAAACTTGAATTCAACACTTTCAGTTATGAAATTAAAAGGAAACATTCGTGAAATTATAGTAAATTTTGCAAATGCATGCATTTTTATGTAAAAGAAAAAAAAACATTTACAGTTCCAGGTTTCCAAATTTTGGATTTTACTATGTAAATTCACAGATTTAAAATATAATAATATTGTCCTGTATTTCAAAAATACCCCCATAAATGTCAAGTAAAATCAGAAATTCTGTTGAAGCATGCACATAAGCATGTGGAGTCCCTAATCATTTTAAAGCAAAATCTAAATTGGCTTCTAACTAAAACAAACAAAAAAACATATTATACTAATATTAAAATGAATTCATAGCATTAACCTGGTGTCTCGTGTGTAAATGGCTAAACTGAAAGCTATCATTGCTCTTGATAAAAAGCAGCAGAGGGAATGTTCTCCAGTCGATAAGCCATGTGTTTTTATGTCCTGACCACGAATCAGTGACGATAGAGTTGTCGTGAAACTTTCTTCTGAACACTCACTTGGTACTCTGTTGATCGCCCGCAGTGGCCTGAGCACTCGGACGGTTCGGATGGCTGACAGACTGGCGTTGTGGCCGTCCAGAGAATACTCCATCACCCTGAAGGTACAGAAAGTCAGGGACAAAAAAAAAAGTTTTACCTCCTGTTTGGTACTAAAAACAAAAGAATACACAAACACACGCATACACAAAGAAACAGCAACAACAAAATAAGAAAGCTTATCGTGGAATCAACCCACATAATAACATTTGACACTCAATTACACAGAACTTTTCAGGCTTGTGTAGCTCAAACCGCTGCACACAAACATAATAAATGTGACAGTATACAAAGCTGGTAGAGGAGAACAGCTACGGTTTCATTGTGTTTTGTGCTTTATGACTGTGTGGCATGTGGGGGAGTGTGTCTGGTCTGGCTGGAATGAGGGAGTCGCTGAAAGGAGTGTCTGCTCATGACGGCGTCCTGCCCTCGCCTCGAGTTATAAAGTCACCCCGGGCTTGAGTCTGCAGCAGGAAGCAGCCACCAGATTGTCTTAATCTCAGGTAGTGTCGCATTTTGAGGCTGCTCAGATGGGTTTATGTCATTTATGTCAGGTTTTGGCAGACGACACTGGCTCCCTGTCCATTTCAGAACAGATTTTAAGATTTTACGGATCCCTGTTCCAAAGTGGAGACTGGAATCGGAGGGTGAGCGAGCGTTTACGATCAGGGCCTGTCTGAGGAGATAAAGCTGCTGAATCAGTGCCTTCTTTTAAATCGCTTCTTAAAACCCATTTTTATAGGCTTGATTCATTTATTTTTATCGTCTCATTACTTTTTTTTTATGATATTGTTCATTTTATTCTCTTTTACCCTTTATTTATATACTTATCTGTATTTTATTTATCTACTATTACTATTATTATGTTTAGCCTTGTGATTGTGGTTTTAGCCTCAATTTACTTCTCTTACACTTGTTCTCTTCCCTTACTTGGATATGGTGTTGTTGGTTCTTTTATAGTTTTATCTCGAGCTGCTGTCTTTAATCATTGTGAAACTCTTTTACCATGTTTCACAATTTTTCTCCACTTTCGCCTCTTTAGTCGTTGTCCTTTTGTTTGAACTAACCAAGCGTGAATATCCTTCTTTTATTTTTTTTGGCTTGTCCGTAAACTCTGTTTTTAAAAGGTGGTATATAAATAAAGTTTTTATTATTATTATTATTATTATTATTATTATTATTATTATTATTATTATTACAACATATCTGAGATCTCAAATGAATGTTTGTGCTTCTCCCATGTCTTTAGAGAAGGTTAAACCTCCCTGCATGATGCTAATTTGCAATATTTAGGTGCAGCATCCTATATGTAGACATGTGTAAGGGTCAATAATTCCCTTTAGTGGGGCTACAGAGAGAAATCACAGCCCACCAACATAAAGGACATTTCTATTTTGATAATGACACGACATTGACAGGACAAACACACAAAAAGGTACATTAAGACACCCACAGACACAAACAGAAGCTTCATACGTCTTTGTCATGTGTGAGCAGCCCGGTTTCCTTCCCATGCGTGCGTATTTGTGTGATTTTTTTAAATTTGTGTGTGGATGATTAAACGTTTTATTCCGAGCAGACAGAAAAACCATTGAGCAATTTGCGGGCACGAGGAAAAAAGCGCAGCGGTGCACCCACCCTGCCATGACGATGACGAAGTCGAGCTGGTTCCACTTGTCACCGAGGTAACAGTTGGGGCCGAATATTCCCAGAGCCACCATCTTGATGACCATTTCCACCGCGAAGAACGCGAAGATGCAGTCGTCCAACACCTGGTCGCACATGTCAATGAGAGAAACGCACAGAAATAAAGATTGACAACAATAACACGAGAGGCGATCGACCTCTGGCTACGAGAGAAAGGTCAGAGCTCCTTGTCAATACAGTTTTGAATGAAACTGTGGAAAGGAGGTTGTCTGGAAATGAGTTCTTGTTTCTATTAGTTAGCTGCATCCCAGCAGGGAACAACAGCTCTGGCTTAGCGTGGTTATGGCTGCATCTCAATTAATTAGACATCTACTACGGCAAGAGGAATGTCTGTATTTGTGAGTAATGAGCACATCTAAAAGTGCCAAGACACGACGCAGCACTGCAGTGAGAGCGCGTAGAAACAAACGAGGGAGAGACGGCGTGAGGAAAATGAATTAATTTTTCATTACCGTTCATTTATGAATTGTACTTTTAATTGCAGTTTCTCTTCAAGGCATTTCACAACAACTTAAAGCAGACAGTGAGAGAAAAATCCCGTTTGCTCACTGAAGCACCGACTGGGCAGGTTAATTGGGAAAACGAAAACATGGTAGATGACTTTAAAGAGATACATGTTGAGGTGTTTTTCCACAATCTACGGCACAACTTTCAATCCTTATATGAACCAGGTGAATGTGTGTTTTTGTGGAAAGGTGGCAAATTCGCACAAAGACAACACTTTCAACGTCAGGGATTGTTCCCGTGAGTTTGGTTAACAAGGCAAGAGAGTCACACTGACCTGGAGGATGCGGCACCACTCTGACTGGCAGGTAACGTCCTCGCAGGGCTGAAACATCCCCAGAGTCACGCAGTTGAGCAGGATCACCAGCATGGACACGTGCTCGAACCACGTGCGGGAAGGAGTTAAGGGCAAACAAAACAAAAATCGTCCACAACAGGTGCACATGGAGCAAGCAAAATTCATGGAAAAGCAACAACTTAAAGAATCAGAAAAAAGCGAAGCATCATCAAGGTTGGGTGTTGCTGTCAGTGCAGGGGAATCCCACTGCAAAGGTACAAACCAAACAGAACAACGGAGCCCGTCGACCTGGTGCAGAGTCAGTCAAAGCGGGATGTTAGTCAGAGAGCTGCTCCCATTACGCTGATTGCTGATCGTACAGAAGCAGCTCGGTGACAGTGTGAATGGGATGAGTCTGACTAGCTGCAAAAAGGTCAGAAAATCTGAGCTCCAGTAAACAAACCACATTCTGATGACTCCACCAACTCACTGGAACCCGATAGGAAGTTTTGTGTCATCTTAATGGCTCTAATAATGAATGAAACCGGCTGATGATCTGATTACAGGCCCTTTTTCACCATGTCACAAATAAACATTTTGATTGCTTACTGTCTGCTGTGTATCCGCTGCAGTGTTTGCTAATGTTGATCAATGAGAGGAAGTAAGAAAAGATGTTAATGTTGGTTTCACTTAATCTCAAGATCTGAAAAGAAACAAGCGATGACAGTAACGATTCATCAAACCTCTGGTGCGGCCTCAGATTTGTGAAAACCCCTTTGTCCTACTTTCTCGGCACACGGAGGGAACGTAATTTCAAGGGTATACAAATGTCGGATTCCTTGTTTGACCCGACTAAAAAAAGCACTTGTGAGTAATCTTTTGTAGATTTCCTTTTGCTTGTTTTTTTTTTTTTTATCCTTCTTTTATCCTTTTTGGACAACCAGTGAGATTATCTATTTAGGACAAAGCAATAAGTTACAGAGTGTACAGGCAACAGTTTATTCCTTTCCTTTCTGTCACTGAAATAAGAGTCCAGAAGGAATGATGTCAGTAGTTGTAACAGAAATGAGTGAATCAGTCTTTCATGCGATTTGAGCGAATCAACATTTATGCAATTAAATCAGGCCGCCTGTTCCTACTGCCTAAATGAAAGATAGCGAATCTGAAAAGTGCCTGTCAGCTCCAAAATCCGATCATTCCTCTGATTTGATTTTTGTTTTCACCGCGCCAGACAGAAAAATCCAGCGGATGTGCCACGAATAGCAATGCACAACAAAAGGGACGCTCACCGCGGGAACAATCGGGGGATGAAAGCCGAATGCATCGACACCGGTCTCACTGATAACGTATTCGCAACGCGTCCCCGCTGACAACATGTTGCATGATGCACTTTATAAAATCGTGAGTAAACTCATCAAAGATGCATGGACGGCACATGTCGGCAGCTGCAATAATTCCAGAAGATGCCTCATTATCTTAATGAGGGGAAAAAATACTGCATGGCAAGTAAATCAGAGAGTAGAAGAGTGAGAGACAGATGAAAAGAGGGGAAATAAATAGAAAAAAGCATCTTAAAGCTAGAGTATGCAGTGCATTAAAGAGGCATCCTCACAGGAATTGACAAATCAAGCGGTTTTAAGTTATAGGCATTGCATAATGTGTTTTTTTTTCCTTCTTATTTGTGTCTTTCAGTGCACTTAATGGTCCCCATCCTCCTCTAGTTTCATTACTTTATGTTTATACGTTTACTGGCTGCATTGTGCCCCAGTTTGTCAGCATTTATCTGAAGTTATATTGGCTTGGAACTAGATGTCTCTCATATGCAGTGATGTAACTGATTCGTGGGGTTTTTTTTTTTTAGATGTGAGGTGGCTTTAATTTCCTCTCCCACCCACTCTCTCTCTCTCTCTTTTAATCCTCCAGAAGTTTGTCCATGTGTTTCGGAGGACTCGCTTTAGGCCTGAAGAGAGCGCGTGGGTTTTTTTTTTTCCAGTTTTAATGCTTTCAAAATCCTCTTGCTGGTTTCTACCATTCTGCGTACTCTAGCTTTAAATCACATTCCCACAACTGCCCAAAAAAAAAAAAAGGCACCGATGCTGTGTCTTTTTTCTACTTTAGTTTGTCTTTTTAGCCCCAAACCCACATCCCACACACTCTCCCTCTCTCCAACACACACTCAGCGATGTGGCGTGTGCACTGAGCTGCGCCGCTGAAGTATTCCCAAGGTGAGGTACTGTTCTAATTAGAAGGGAGTTAAACCGAAAACAAATGGTGGCCGCTGTCTTCTATATTACTCTCACATGCAGAGATACTTAAAAATCCATAAAAGGTACCCAAAAAAAAAGGCAGGAACACAGATATTGTTTTGCAAATTACATTTTGTTTATACGTTGCACAAACGCAGAGACGCTTGGGATTTACTGGTGTGATCCGAGACCGAAACAGAGGTTTGTATCAGCAAAGACGTACGATTGCACTTAGAGGAATACATAGATAAGGTGCTAAGCTGCTTGATCAATGAATTTGTTTTCTCCAGAACTCAAAAAACACAAAAATCGATTATAGATTTGATTGGGACGTGCTAAGGATTGTGACACAAAAAAAAAAAAAAAGAGTCAACATTGAAGATGCTGTTTAAACGCCTGCAGTAACAGATATTTAAAAACATGAAATACCAGAGTTTCAATGTGACAAACAGTCATGCAAAATATATGAGGTAAAACCAGTTCAAATAAAATTGAAAAAAAAATGTGCCTAAGTGAAGGAATCCGTCTTTTCGGGGGAATGAGTGTGCACAGTTTGCCAAAGAACAAGGCACAGCAAAAAAACAAAAAAAAATATGCAATGAATATTCATCTATGTGCGAATTCCTGCATCTCGTGGGTTTAAGAGTAGGTTTCCATCAGAGAGTCAGGCTGTTGACGGAGTGTGTTTCAGGGAATGGGAATATTTACTATTGACAGCTGAAGCGGCCGCATCAATTATTTATGTCCCTGTTAATTTAGGACAATTTGAACAGTGAATAACAACAGAAAAAAATAAAAATACAAATATTGCAACCAATCATGTGTGGAAATTTTATATGCACAAAAATGCACTAAATAGCCTATGCCCTGCTTCCTCCAACACATCATCTGTATGCTGTTCCCCATTTGCACATCCAACAAAGGGCTTCCTGAGGCCCGGCTGCTGCTGCTGCTGCTCACCTATGCTTCATTAGCCAAACCTGACAAATGTGCAATGAGCTCTGCCAAAATGCCACACATCTATATCCCAGCTGGTGATGAGGGATTTGCACCATCCACTGTGAGGGAAGGCAAAGATATGAATCTGTTGCATACATACAGTTGAAACCAGAAGTTTACATACACTGTACAAAGAGACACATAACCTTTAACTAATCAGGTTTAATTAACCTTTAACATAACCATAAATTGAACTGTGTGGCCTTAATGACCATCGTTGCATTTGGAGGAAAGAGGGGGAAGTTTGCCAGCCTGAGAACACCATCCCAGTTGTGAAGCACGGGGGTGGCAGCATCATGTTGTGGGGGTGTTTTGCTGCAGGAGGGCATCATGAGGAAAGAACATTATGTGGAAATATTGAAGCAACATCTCAAGACATCAGCCAGGAAGTTAAAGCTTGGGCACAAATGGGTCTTCAGATGGACAATGACTCTAAACATACCACCAGGTTAGTTACAAAGAGGCTTCAGGACAACACAGTCAGTGTTTTGGAGAGGCCATCACAAAGACCTGATCTAAATCCTGGAGAACATTTGTGGGCAGAGCTGACAAGGCATGTGGAGCAAGGTGGCTATAAACCTGACTCAGTTCCACCAGTTCTGTGAGGAGGAATGGGCCAGAATTCATCAAACTATTGTGAGAATCTTGTGGAAGGAAACCCAGAACATTTGACCCAAGTCATAGAGTTGAAAGGCAATGCTACCAAATACCAAGGAAATGTATGTAAACTTATGACTTTAAAGAAAGTAATAAAAAAAATCTAAATCTAAAATCTAAAAAAATTATCTCATTATTCTGGCATTTAGCAAATAGAAATAATTTTGGAAATCCTAACTGACCTAAAACAGGAAACGTTTAGTCTGATTTCATGTCAGACAGTAAGAAAAAAAAGGTATATGCGCGTTTTTATACAGTGTATGTGAACATCCGGTTTCAACTCCATTTACTTTCTACAGTGAAGATTTATGTCTGCAATGCACATCTAAGCATCTTCATGTTACACATCTGATGCTGTGATAATTTTGTAGTACTGAGAGAAACCGGACTGTCTGTTGTATTTCTGGAAAATACAGTTTCTGCCAGTCTGCGAAGTTCCCATTGCTCTGGCATGCAGCTACTGGATACTCCAGTTGCAAACCCTTCAGCTTGTCCTCTGAAGACAAATTAAAAAAAAAAAACACTAAGGGAGCAATAAACTAGTTTGTAGGGGAAGTCCAGGTCAGAGGCCACGTTCACTTGGGGAATACTGAATTTTAATTTTTAACCCTGTAAACCCCAAATACATGTTGTTGTTTTTCTTTAATCACCAAAATTACACCATTTATCACATCCAGAAAGGGTAGCAACAGAGAGAATTGTCGGACTTTCAATTATCTTTAAACTCATCGTGTTTTACTTGAAGTTTTGTTGGAAAATTTAACCAAATCTCAGCTTGAAATCTTGGTCTTCATCAAAAATACAAAATCCTGCAACTTTAACTCAAAAATTAACCAAAAATAAAGCTTTTGCACTAAACAAATTTGGTTAAAAAAAAGAAAATATTCTGTGCTCCTCACTGCAACTTGTACCCATGAGAGATTCCGTTGTGTCAAACAGGTATGTCACAAAAATCGTTGGAGTTTTTCAGCTGAACCGGGATGAAGTGCAGGCAGTTCTTACACAGAGCCAATAGGAGAGTGGTGGGATGTGGAGCCACCATTTTTATTTATTTTTAAAAACATGTTGACTGCAAAGTTTGTCAGTTTGTTTTTTTAAATCAATGAGCAAAGGAATTCTGTTTGACAATTTACAGCATAATTTCGTTATCTAACACAAAAGAAGTGTTCTGTGTACTTCTAGTGTTGCAGGACTTTAAATTACAG